CCTGGATTCTAGAGCTAATGTGGCTTAGATTTCAACTAAAACCCCGGCTGCATTAGCCTATCTACATCTTTTAATACACATTACTATTCAGATAGTTATGTCATTTTTAAGTGTGGATATCAATGCACTATATCTTTTTCTAACTGTAGCTAAAGAAATAACTGGACTCACATCAAATATATATTAGGTATCTTCCTTTTCTAGGTACTAGAAGTACATCAAGGCACAAGTTAGGACAAATAGCCTTCAGGTAACTTATGAACTTTTGCTGTTAAGTTTAAGCTAGTAAAAGTCTTGAAAACTTGCTGGCAGCCTGATTATCCTGTCATCCTCCTGTTTTCTTACATTAAAAGTCTACTGTAACTTATAAACTTAGAACCAAGTAGGTTCTCAGTACAATGTTAAATAAATGAGCCAGATTGTTGAAGCAGATTAATATTATGGAAATGTCCAACTTATTACTTGTCGTTGTTAACCCGAAAATACTCTTCTTTTTTTTGAGTTGGACTCTCACTCTGTCACCCAGACTGGAGTGCAGTGGCATGCTCTCCCGGTCACCACAGCCTTGACCTCCTGGGCTCCGGCGATCCTTCCCCCTCAGCCTTCCAAGTAGCTGGAACTACAGGCACGTGCTACCATGCCTGACTGGTTTTTTTTTTTTTTTTTGGATTTATTGTAGAGATGAGTTCTTGCCAAGTTTATCTCTTGTTTCTGTTTCTCAGTGCTTGTGACTCCGGTAGCCCGTCATGTGATCTGTTTCATCAGAAAAGATACACATGTATCCCTTTTAATGTCTTTTCATCTTCCAGATCCAATGACCTCAGGATGGTCTTTGACCCTTGAAACCAACTGAACCTATTCAAACTATCCTTTAAGATGGCCATAAAAGTAAAAACTTTATCTATGTCTCTGATTATTCTGATTCAGGTTTTTCTTAAACATTGGTATTTATGATTAATTTGTTATCATTAACTAGTTAAAAATTAAATTTGCCTTTAGAAGGACATTACTTTAAATTTCTAAGTGTTTCAATGATACCATAATCTGTGATATAAAGCATGTTTTTTCTAAGAAATTTACTTTCAGACTACAGGTTATTTAATGTCACTAACTGACCTTACACAAATGCACCTTTGGAATATTTTTCTCAAACCAAATGCTATGAAGTTTTACAAAAGTCAGCTACCAAGTTTTTTAAAACAAATATTCTATTTTTAAAGTAAAAAAATTAAAATAACTGCTATAATTATTCTATTAAATATAATTGCTAATCAGCATTTTTAAGTGTTTTAGAGAAAATTTCAAAGTTCATGAAGAAATATTTTTAAATGTGTGCAAACCTAAATTCCTGATTATAACAACTAAGTGGAAGGGTGACTTGAATAGAGAAATTGAGGGTACGAAGATTTTTTTAAAAAACAGCTTACAATACACTGATGTTTGTACAAAATTATTTATTGTTCATTTATTGATCTAAAAACAAAAGTTAATTTGAAAGAATTTTTTTTGGTAACATGTATGTATATAAAAGTTGAGCTACTTGGGACGTTGAGGTGGGAAGATAGCTTAGGAATAGGAATCCAGCCTAGGCAACATAGCAAAGACTGGTCTCTTACCAAAAAAAAAAAAAAAAAAAAAGGAAAGTTGACAAGTTGACTCTTTGGCTTATCATTTTTATCCTTTTTGTTTTACTTATTTTAAAATCTAGAACCTACCTGAATATTATGATAAAGTTTTTTTAAAAAAAACAGCATTGCACGTTTCACACATAGTTAAGGTAAAACATTAATTCTACTTTGTTTTCCTTAGTCATAGGCACATTAAGAATTAACAGAGCCAGGCTCAGTGGCTTAGCCTGTAATCCCGCACCCTGGGAGGCTGAGTGAGTGGATTGCCTGAGCCCGCGGGTTCGAGACCCGCCTGGGCAACTTGGCGAGACCTCATCTCTACAATAAGTCAAAAAATCAGCCGGGCGTGGTAGCGCGCGCCTGAAATTCCGGCTACTTGGAAGGCTTAGGCAGAAGGATCGCCGGAGCCCAGTGGGTTGAGACTGCGGTGGCCGGGAGCGGCCACTGTACTCCAGTCTGGGCTAGAGTGAGACTCCAACTCAAAAAAAAAAAAAAAAGAATTAATAGATATCCACAGAACACAGAAATATCTGTGGAGTCATAGCTGACTAAATAGATAGGTCTTGAGCAAAGTTAGAGCTGAATTCAGACAGAATTCAACTTTTTTCATTAATGATCTAGATCGCACTAGACATTACCTTGATTAAGCAAGGTATTTGCTTCCACAAGTGTAGATTGACAACATATACGTACCTCAATATACCATGTCAAAATTGTGTCTAATCTCAGTCATTATCATAGAGGGATAGCAGTGTATTCAGGGTCAATTTTACTCTTCTAAAGCCATCTTTCAAGAACTATTTTGAAATTATACCCATCTGTGTGTGTTTTGGCTTAATGTATAGTACAATGTAGAAAGTAAAAATTGCATCACCAAACTTTAACATCAAAGTACACTTAAGTGACATTTAAGTGGTGTTATCTTTCCCCAATATCAATATGGGGAGAAAAAAAGAGAAAGCATATGGCTTGAAACTATTACATCCACAAGCTGAGTGTCTGCTTAAAACTTAAATGGTGAGTGAATTTTTTGAAGTGTTATGTTCTTGTTCAGTCTTATTCCTGGGGAGTTTCTTACACAAACTTTGGAATGTTATTATGTACGCATTCTGACATATAGGCATTTTTAGAGAAAAAAATATATAAAGAAAATGATCAAGGAAAAAAGGCAGAGGAGAGTACATCTGCTGTGCCAATGCTTACGTTACCTGTCAGGGGTGGGAGACATAAAGCGTTCTGCTCTCCTCAATGCCACTTAAGAGGAAGAGCTCAGGATCTACTTAAAAGGATGTTTCCGTGAGTTATCTATATTTCCTAAAATTAGGGATTTTGCTGTACAAAAAGGCAACAGGCCTGTGGGTGTCATTAAATGTGATTAAACTTCTAGTCGTTGTATAATTTCAGCTTTGAAAGTACATTGCACTAAATTTCTGGGCTTTCCATTTCAGCAGCTCATTATTCTGCTCCTATCCTATTTTCTCCTGTTGTGTTTTGTTTCATGGTTTTTAAATACTATATGAAATATTATTTTAATGACAGAGATTTTGATGCTATTGTTTCAATTATTTTAATGAGATATTCATATTTGCCTGAATCTGCATGTTTCTTTTTCTGAATTCAGCATTTTTAAAACAATATACTGCTCCACATAGCAACTTAGAATACATTAAATTATATATTTAAAGTGATGTAAGAACACTTCATACTTCTCAAATGATGCATTGCTTCTTAATTCTGTTCTTTGTGAATGAAGCAAAGCCAAGTTAAAGCATCTGGAATGAATATGGAGCTTTTATTTCATTAAGAAAGGCAAAAGGTATCCTATGATCTGAATATCATCATCAAATCATAGAAGAACTAGGCCAGGTACGACCTCTTATTTTCCACATTATGACGTTTGCTACAACTTAAAGAGTAAAAATTTTTGCAAGCAAAACATCTCAGCATTTTCATGCGAATCTAATACAAAAATTTAGGTAGAAGTTTACATTTTTAAAAGCTTTTATACACTAAAAAAAGCAGGAAGAAACCAGCATGGTGGCTCACTTCTGTAAGACCAGCACCTTGGGAGGTTGAGGTGAGAGGATCACTTGAACCCAGGAGTTCCAGACTAGCCTAGGAAACACAGCAAGACCTCATTTCTACAAAAGGTAAATATATTAGCTGGGTGTGGAGGGGTGTGCCTGTAGTCCCAGCTACTCAGGAGGCTGAGGTGGAAGGATCGCCTGAACCAGGAGGTCCAAGGATATGGCAAGCTATGATTGTACCACTGCTCTAAAGTACAGCCTGGGCAACAGAGATCCCAACTCAAAAAAAAAAAAAAAAGGAAAGAAAGAAAGATAAAAAGGAGGAAGAATAGTTCAATAGCTCAGATTTCCTCAATTCCTGCTGACTTGCTATAAATCTGAAGTAAGGAATTACTATGAGACCAGCAGCCGATGGGCAGGTAGAATACAGGCTTCCTGGGTCCAAAGTAGAAAGAAGCATGTCCTTGGCAGATTTCAAAGGAAGAAAATAATTTCCTATGAATGTCATTGTACGACAACATAGGTTGGTATGCTGCAAACACTTCAGGCAAAAAAAAAAAAAAAAAAAAAGTACTGAGCAATGTCATTTAAATGGTACTTCTGTTGCCCAAACAGTTGTACAGTGCTCCACAGAAGAATTAATGAAACATTAATAAAATAACAAGTTAATTTGTAGAATTTAAAGTTAATTAAAAGTAAGGCCAGGCATGGTGGCTAACACCTATAATCCCAGTTGGAAGGCCAAGGTGAGAGGATTGCCTGAGTCCATGGGTTTGAGACCAGCCTGGGCAACTTGGTGAGACCATATCTCTACAATAAATAAAAAAATTAGCTGGGCATGGTGGCGTGTGCCTGTAGTTCCAGCTACTTGGAAGGCTGAGGCAGAAGGATCACCTGAGCCTAGCAGGTCGAGGCAAGCCACTGCACTCCAGCCTGGGCGACAGTGAGACTCCAACTCAAAAAAATAAAAAAATAAAAAGGGCTTCATCCCATTTGCCTAAATTTTTGAAAATATTAAGATACCATAAAGACATATTATAAAGTGTCACTGAGAATAGTGTGATTCTTTTAAAAGGAAAGACTTTGGTATGAATGGTTAAAATCCATACACCATTTCTGCAAAAAAGTTTCTAAGTAAGACTTAAGAGGATCTTCAGTCTGAGGAAAACAATTGAAATTGAAATACGTGTTTTTCACCATTACCACTTACAAATCATGTGTTTACCAAGAAAGTCAATCTATAGTGAATACTAACTTACTTTATCACATAGAACAATTTCACTGTACACTAGTACACTATGAACATATACACCATACCCATAATTCTGTCCCTATGCAAATCTATTGGCATGTCACAAAAACTGCCCACAGTGTTTTTTGGATAAATATTTATAGCCTCGTTCATTTTGAATTTTAATAGCCATTTGAAAATATAGTATTTTATTTATTTTTGTGTATAAAATTTCCAAACTTTTGCATAAATCCTCGAAACTTGTTTTCATTGGGTTGATATGAGTGATACACACCAGTGTTGTAATTAAGCCTTGGACTAGACCTGCCATAACTATTGCCCATAGTTGGGGATTTTATTTCAGGGCGATTTAGACTAGTATTTGGTGTGTTGCTTGTTGGCTGAATAGTATTCTCAATCTTACAAAATGGCTCAAAACGACTGTAAACACGCCGGTCAATTGAATGAGATCTTAGAATCTCATTGGACGTTGGCCTTGGAGAAGAAGTTGACCTTCTTTCAGGAATAACAGCTGCATTCATTTCCTTTGAATCTCGGTATTGGATCTGTTCGGTGTTAAATCTTGGGGCAGAAGCATTTCCTGCCCTGTCCAAGAACTTGTTTTCATCTGGACCTGGAGAAGGTATTTTATTACATTCACCTGATGGAAAATTTATCCCCTGAGATGAGCTAACTGTTACATCTTCCTTACTCTTGTGGATGCTGCCTTGAGAGTTTGATGAGGAAGAACGCTTTCTCCTAGGAGATGAGTCAACTTTTGGTTCCGATTTTTTTGGTTTCTGATTTTCTTCACCCTCAGAAGCTAATGTGTCAGAGCTACTACACATTCTATAAAAGACAGGTGCTTTATTTTTGGATAGATTTTCTTTCTTTTCTGGGGTAAGGCTAAGCAATGACCTTAACTTCTGAGATCCCTTTTTCAAAAAACTTGGGGAACCCTTAACTTCCTTCTTCAAAGTGAGTTCTTTGTTGGGTTCCTCTTTATTCACATCAAGGAGAGCAGCAACGGAAACTGATTTGGTAGTCGGGCCACCTGGAGGATTTCTCTTAATAACGTCTTCCTCCTCTTCCTCCATGTTATGGGTCACATTGTGCATGCTTTTAGAACTTTTCAGCAAATCCTCCTTGGGTTTTTCTGGTTGCCTAACTCGATTCCTGGTAAGTGTACTGTATACATAGTGCTTACTATTTCCATGATCTAAATTGGATTTTGAGTGGTCAAAGTATGGGAAACTTCGCCTCTTAAGTAGATTCTCGTTTTGTTGGTTCTTTGGATTTTCTGTCTGCTTATTGACACACAAGGTTGTATATATATAGTTACTTGATTCTTTATGGCCATTTGTAGTTTGGTTTACAACTGGTGAGTGGTTTTCAGGAACCTGTAGATTGTGCATCTTTGGTGCCTCTGACTGTGATGGGAGGTTGGGGGTTGATTCTGGCAAGGGTTTGTCTGTCAAATGTTGTACATTGGTAGGGGTTTCTGGGACCTTTTTAGGTGTGTCACTTCCCTGAGAACCAATGATAGTTGAATTTGAGGAGCCGGTTGTATTACTGTTAACTTCCTGTTGTTCGGGTAAAGTTGGTTTAAATACAAAAGAAGAACGAAGCCGAGAATGAGTATAAAGGGCATTGGCTTTCGAATTCTCAGGAGTATCATAGCCCTCAAATCGGTCACCTAAAGCTGATCCATTTGAGTCAGGTGTAGCTTCTGAATGATCATTTAAGTAGGATTCAATTCTCCAGTTACGTAGGAATGACTTTGTGGTATGCTCAAGAGTTGGCATTCGTTGTTGCAAAAAGCGAATATGATTATCTGTCCCATTAAAAGACCTCCGCACAGTTGAATTCCTGTCTGCAAGGTTTGTTGTTTTTCTCTGGGCAAGCCGGTCAGCAAAGCTCTGGGCAGGTGTGTTTTGGGGGTGTGCATAGCCTCCACGTGATGAGGATGTCACACTGAGACTATCTGAAGGTCTTTTCCAATTACCAGGCAGATTACTGGTTCTATTCAGAGCCCTATTAAGCAGCAGGTATGGCGTCGTCTCTGGCTGCTCCCCAGCATAACTGTGCCTTTTCCAATTTTCATTTAGCTGAGTGGGTTGAAACTGACGTATTGTATTTGGACCATTAAAGTTTGGAACAAAATGGGGTTTGTATCCATGATGTCTTATGTTATATTTGTCATGTTCATTCCGCGTATATATCCCTCTGTTTTTGAAGTAACCAGAATCTAGTTGATGAATTTTGTCTTGTCTACCAAAAAGATTTCTTTGGCTGGAAACAGAGGCTAATGAAGAAACTGAACACTGGTAAGTGCCATTTTCCCAGAGTGCTTTGCCATGCTTCACCCTTGATGATTCTTCTTGAGCATATGAACTGGGAATGCAGGATCTAGCATAGAGTGTTCTAAATTCTTCATCAAAGGACTCAACAAGTTGTCCTGTGATTATCTGAACCATGCTGAGGTGAGTTTTCTCAAATGACCACATATAACTGAAAAAAAAAAAGAAACATTTTTAATTTTGATAAGTTGAAAGACTGATCATATATAGTTCTACTGTAAAAAGGTGTTACTTAATGTTTTAGTGTGTTTTATCTTGGCTACTATAATTTAGAATATTTTCAATTGTTATATGCTTGTAATTACACGTCTTCCCATACTCATATTCATATTTTTAAACAACAAAACTCAAGTTACGGTTTTGAATCCACCCATGATTTCTAACACAACTTTCCAGAAGTCCAAAGAAAAGTTTGTTGTACATTTTATATACCTGCCTGCAAAGAATGTATGTAGCAAAAACTGATATTGTATTTCATATATACCATCTTGGCAGAGTGCAGGAAATCCAGTATTGGAGGAAGAGATGAGAGGGCTAGATTTTGCTGCGCCACAGACATGTGAGCTTGGGCCTCACTTTCTGCATGTTCAAAATGAGGCATATTAGCTACAATGGATTATAGTTGTAACATGATATAACATAGGAGACGTCTATTTCCTTTTTTTTTTCGACTTGGAGTCTCACTCTGTCACCCAGACTGGAGTGCAGTGGCCGCTCCCGGCCACCGCAGCCTCGACCTGCTGGGCTCCGGTGATCCTTCCGCCTCAACCTTCCAAGTAGCTGGAACTACAGGCACGTGCTACCACGCCTGGCTGATTTTTGATTTATTGTAGAGATGAGGTCTCGTCAAGTTGCCCAGGCGGGTCTCGAACCCGCGGGCTCAGGCAATCCACTCACCTGGGCCTCCCAAAGGCACGGGATTACAGGCTGAGCCACGGAGCCCGGCTAGGAGACATCTATTTCAATGCATGTATTTTAAGAGTCTCAAAGTTTTCAGACTGTTATCTCTGTGGCTTACTCAGTAAGTGTAATTTAGTGTGCTGGGAGCTGTAAACAGAGATTTGTCGGCCGCAGCCTCAGTTGGTAAAGGGCAAACTTCACTGTACTCAGTGTACACAGTATTAGTAAATGTAGTCCTCAGAAATCATGCCAGTCAAAATGCCAACCAGGGTCTTTTAATATAGAATACAATTTCTAGAAAATTAAAATTTATATGACTTTACAGTACTTTATGGAACGTCCAAACACTTTCCTTCCTAGAGTTTAGAGGTGATAACTATCTTGAAATTTCCTATCAAATTTTAAATCTGATCTTTGAAAACACAGATGATTTAATATATAGAGTCCCTGAGCTGAGAAATAAATGAATTGCTAATATGCTACACAACAAATAATATACATAACATAATGGGGGTTAATACAAAATGAAAAAGAAACAGACACTCTCCACATTGAAGGATTGTATTGTCTATAAAGGAAATAATAAAAAGTACAAATAAAAAGACTTTTTTAATGTGCCAAGTAATAATTGAAAATACATAAGATATCACAAACAGCAGTGTGCAATTTAAGAATCCTGTTATTCTGATATGCTTAATTTTATCTAGTATGCCTATTGAAAACATAGCATGAGAAGAACATTGACTAAGTGTTCTTTGTGTGAGCACATGTGGGTCACCTGGCTGACTTAAAAGAAATGGTAGGGCAACTCTCTCGGGTCCCCACATGCTCTGGGAGCTTTTCTGTCCTCTCAATAAATCCTGCCTTCTTTAAAACAGAAGAAAAGAAAAAAAGAAAAAAGAAACGGTACTAAAGTGTAAATGGAGAAATTTTCAATCCAACTGAGAATGTGAAAACAAAATATGTTCGAAACATCAAATAATAGAATGAAGAGTAGCTATCAAGTATGAGGAAATCCTTGAAGAAACTGATGAGTTCAAAAACTGTTTTGAGCAGTAGAAAAGTATCATGATAGGTACATTGCATCAATATTTTACAATACTTTGATGAAGACTAAATAGCCACAAGTTCAGACAAAAAAGGTGTGGAACGACACATTGGATGGAAGAAGCAACATGTGGAAAAGGAAAGGAAGCAATAATGGTCATGTTTTGATTGAACACAGAAAGCATTATATTTAGCTGAAGAAAATAAATAAGCCATATAAAAGATTTATGAATTAGTGGGAAAAATCAGAAAGTTTATGTAGAATTTGTTTCCAAACTTTGATAAATTATAATCGATGTTTGAGGAATTTTTTTTTTAGTGGCTATTTCTAGAATAGATTTGAAAGATGAGGGATTGAATGTACCAGGAAGAGTGAAGCAGAATAAAGTAAGAGCCTACTTCAAAGGAGAAAGTGGAATAATGTGAGAGCGATCAAAAAAAACACAAAAAAAATGAAATTACTTGTTTCTGCAGATCAAACGGTCAACCAAAGTTTTTATCTGGAAGTTTTGGGAAATTACATCACAATTTGTCTCAAGTTGTGGCAAATAGATGATTGGTTCTTCCACTGTGACAACACACTTGCCCACACTGTGCTGAGTGTTCAGCAGTTTTTCACCAAATATGGCATGACCCCAGCCCCGCCCTCCCTATTCACCCAATCTTGCCCCAAGCAACTATATTTTTGTTTCCCCAGATTAAAAAAGTCTCAGAGGGAAATGTTTTGCCCATGTGGAAGAGGTGAAACAAACAAAGAGAGAAATGGCAGAAGCACTAAAAGGCATTAAAATTGATGAGTTCAAAAACTGTTGTGAGCAGTGGAAAAACATCATGATAGGTGTATTGCAGCAAACTGAGAGTCTTTTGAAGGTGACTGAAATTTAAACATGTAAGAATAAATACACAATTTTTTATAAATAAACTCCAGGTTTTGGGGGGTTCCCCCTTGTAAGTAAAAATGTTGTGCCAGTAGTAAGAAGAAAGAATCAGAAGATCTTCATGTCATAAGGGCTGTCAATAGGTTATGAGATAAAAATAATCTCCAGGTGTTGAGCTTAAAAAACTGAGAAGATGCTGGTGCTGGTGAACGAGTGACAACTGGAAAAGTTTTCCTGCTATGGTAAATCAGAAAATAATAATGCAATAAAATTTCAGGTAACAGGAGGACATTCAATGGAGTATATTCAATAAATAAATCTGAAACACTAGAGACACGCTTCAGGGTTTGGGAATGAATCCCTGTCTCTCGCTCATATCCCAGGTGATCTGTATCAACTATATGCCAGAAAACTACCACATCTGTATTGTTAGTGCTGACCTCTTCCTTATCTCTGGAATCAATGCCCAATCTCTTTGCAATTTTAATGGGCCTTTAGTATGTCCTATTAATAAGTTTTCATCCAACACTGCTTCTTCCCCCAATCTGTTTCTTCCCTAGCCTTACTTATTTAACTCAGTGGCACAATCAGCTTTTCAGGTGATCAAGACAGAAATCAAGAAGTCATCTATGAATGCTTTTCTTTCCGACCCAGCAAGAATCAACAGGTCCTGCTGACTCTGGTTCCAAAATCTCTCACAAATCTATCCTATCCTGCTCTCACCCTAGTCTAAGACATCGTCAGCTAATATGACTCTTAGTTTCCGCATTTGCTCATATTTCCATCAACACAGCAGTAGGAGTGAACTTTTCATAATAATTGGGTCATGTCACATTCCTACACAGAACTTTGCATTTTGTGTAAATTAAAATTCAGACTCAATACATGGCCTAAGAGAATTCCTTCTCTGCTTGCTTTCCAGTTTCACTACAAATTGCTCTCTCCTTGCCTAATGTACTCCTGCCACATTGGCCTTCTTTTCTGTTCCCAGATATCTGCTCCAGGATCTTTTCACTTACTTTTCCTTCTGCAATGTTTTTCTTTCATCTGGCAGTCCCTGGCTGACTTCTTAGAAGACACTTATGTCTACCCTACGCAAATATGTACCTGATCATGCTTTATCATATTTCCCTGGTCTCACACTTCCAGTGCCCCTTATTACTATCTGATATTTTCTTGTGTGTTCTCTCTTGTTAATCATCTATCTCCCTTGCCCACTAAAAGACAAATTATCTCAGTTTAGGGACGAGTTCAGGGCTACCTTTCCAGGAGCTAAGAATGCTGCTTGGCATATTGCAGAAGCTAAAAAATATTTGTTGCAAATAAACAAATGATAATATAAATGAATGATCAATCATTTTCAAAATAAAAAATAAGCGATGTTTATGTTGGTGGAAAGTTTAAAAGGTTTAAATTAAATCTGGATTACTATGCATGTTTCTTTCTTTTTCTCCCATATACATTACTAAAAAGACAACAATGGGAAAAGGGAAGTAGCTAGAGAAAGTATTAAACACATTTTAGAAGACAGAAATCTGATGGAGAAGTGGTAGCTGACTCGGGGAAGTTTGTACAAGTTGAGTACCAATGAGAATAAGCCAGTTGGGCCCAGTAGAATCTTTATGGATTCAATGCTGGAAGTAAAGCCTACTGTGGATGATACATGGCCTTTAATAAGGCCATGTAAACAGAAAACAGGAGACTTGATTGAAAGTCCCCTGTAGGGTGGCTGGCCCTTCACATTCACTTCTCTTCTCTCTCCCCTGCAGCACACCTTCCTATCCCTTTCAGGAAACCTACAGTTTACTTCAGCAGAAACAAATCCAGAGAAGGCCTGAACTCAGAAACTTTGAACAACACATGCTGGGATGAAGCTGAAACTAAAATCAAACATTATCAGACCCTCAGCTCCCTTCCCCATTTTGCTTCTAGAATACCTGCAAGTTAGGTTCATAACCTGACTGCATTCCCAATTCTGTCTCCTTCTACCAAACTTTCAGGGAAAGATATTATTTCCTGGAAACACTGAACAGTCCCAGATAAACGAGCTATTTATGCTGACATTTGGTGGTCCTCTTGCAAAATTGCCAGAATTCCAGCCAACCACTCTGCTATAAGCTCCAATGTTGGTAAGCATTTCCCACCCAGTTTCTAATTAGCTTTATAATCCCTCACTCTTAAATGTAAACACAGTAAAAGAGAAGAAAGGGCATGGTCAACTTGTCTATGAAAAAAAATGACAATATCATAATATGAGGGACAAAAGCTGTTTTTAAACCAAATGGAAATATATTTTTAACCAATTTATAACCAGTCCACCAGATCCTGTGATTATATTGTTTGCAGTAGAAAAAGGTCCATGATTGTTAGGAAAACTGACAATGCTTGACTGACAACCATTAACATTTTAAAGAAGAACATTTAAAATAACAAAAAGAACAGAGTTGTGATGAATTTTCATAATCTGCGGTCCTAAGTATTCCACATTAACTACCATAAATAGTAACATAAAATCTGTCTCTGGCTTATGCTATAGAGGTATAGATACATAATAAAAAATAGATAAATAATATAGATTAAAAAAAAGCCATTGCTGTGGTTTCTTTGATTTTCTCCACATTAATCTAAAGTAGTTCAGTTGTAGTCATTTCAACACATAGCACCTATTAATACCTAGGGGTAGCAAACAAAAAGTTGAGGTGAATTTAAGATAATCTTAAAAGTCAAATTAAATAATAAGAATAGAAAGCAGCCGAACTTGGTGGCTCAGCCTGTAATCTCACGCCTTTGGGAGGCTGAGGTGAGTGGATTGCCTGAGCCCACGGGTTTGAGATCCGCCTGGGCAGTGAGACCTCATCTCTACAATAAATAAAAAAATCAGCCGGGCGTGGTAGCGCATGCCTGTGATTCTGGCTACTCGGAAGGCTGAGGCGGAAGGATCGCCGGAGCCCAGCAGGTCGAGGCTGCGGTGGCCGGGAGCGGTCACTGCACTCCAGTCTGGGCGACAGAGTGAGACTCCAACTCAAAAAAAAAAAAAAAAAAAAAAAGAATAGAAAGCATTAAACTACAATAAGCTTAGATAAAAAACACTATCCTGTAAGTCAAGTAAACGCAATTCTAATTAAAATTTCAATTAAAAACTCTCTAAAACCAAATGGTTCTGAACAAATATATTCATACATAATGAGTTTTTAAAAGGACTCACTAATTTCAAGCACTAGCTGTCATTTCTGTTCTTAACAAGTTTTCCTTTGGAGCTCCCAACAGCAGGTTTTTCAAAAAGGTCCCTGAGCTTGAAGGGAAAGTCAGTAGAAAGTAACAGTTAAAACTAGTCCTAAAATAATAGTTAGCATTAAGGGTTTTGGATGTATTAACTCGATCTACCCTCACAACAATGGTATGAGGTAGGTTCTATGATTATCCTCATCTTACAGCTGAGTAAACCCAAGTGTAATCAGATACAGTAACTGTTCAAGGTCCATTTTCTTCTCATGGACTTTTTAAGTTATTAAGAGAAGAGACAAAGGTTTCCCCTCACATTGTCCTGTTTACCTCCACAGCTCTTCTGGATTGTTCTTTCAGTCTTTAATAATGAATCGAGTCTGTTTTTGTAACCTAGCAGTTCACAAGTGTCTGCTGGTGTTTTTACCTGCCTCACTAGGTGTCTGATTCAGGACTGATGCCAGAGACTTATTTATAAGAAAATATCAGGGCAGCGCCTATGCTCTGGAGCCAGCCTGACCTGGACTGGGCTGCCAGTGGTGGTTTGATCAGATGCTTACTAGTACAAAGTAAGAAAAATCCATTCAACAGGTTCTTCAATTATAAACAACTTCTATTTTCACGAACACTGCTATTAAATCCATACTACTAGTGTTTTCATAAGGAGCAAAATGACTTTTAATATTATCTGTAGGGAACCTTAGATAGTAGTCAACCTCCTCATTTTTGGATGAAGAACCTGAAACTCAAGAGAATTATATGATTACCCTAAGAACAGAAATTTCTTAGGGGTAAATCATATAATTTCCTTTAAGTCGGAGACTCACTCTGTGACCAGGATGGAGTGCAGCGGCACAATCACAACTCACAGCAACCTCAACCTCCTGGGTTCAGGCAATCCTTCCACCTCAACCTCCTGAGTAACTGGGACTACAGGCATGTGCCAACAGACCTGCCTAATTTTCTACTTTTTACAGAAGTGAGGTCTTGTTATGCTGTCCACGCTGGTCTCAAATTCCTGGCCACAAGCTATTCTCCTGTCTCAGCCTCCCAAAGTGCTGGGATTACAGGTGTGAACCACTGTCCCTGGCCTAACGTTCTTCAAGGTGCAGCCATAACTCATACCTAGGTCTCCAAGCTTCCATGATAGTGATCTATTTTTATTTTTAAGAAAGAGCTAAGCTGATTATACTAAAATTTGAAAGTAATAAATTATTTAAATAATTGATTTAACACTGCAGGTAAACACCAGGATCTTACCTGTAAGAACCGTACATCACTTTCTGGCAGTCAACTAACAAAAATTTCTGTTCCATTTTTCCATGAAATTTTGCCCCCGTTTTTGAAAGATAATCTTGACCTTTTACTGTCCGCACTCGAATATTCTAGAATTATATGCAAATATAAAATAAATATTATGATTAGAAAGAGAATGTTTTGAAAAGTACAATACATGTCATGATAAAACCTTAATACCAAAAAAGTACTTGAAGTATTTTTTAAAAATACTTAAAAATCAGTTAAAAAATTTTTTTTCTCAAAAAATCTCCCAAAACTTAAATGCTTAAGGAAAATAATCACTTAAAATATATATTTTTAACATAGTTTAAATAGGAGACACAATTTAACATTTATACAGAATGGTATCTTAAATTATTTAGGCTCCTTCTGTAAAAAATTCTTACGGGTATGGTACCATGACGATAAAATAACTAAAATTAAAATCTATCTTGCTTTTAAAAGGTCAACCATAACTGAGAAAAAAGCCACTATGGCAAATGATTTTGTTAAGTAATATCTGCTGAATCACACAGAAGCACTTGAGTCAGTGATTTCAAGGTTATGTAACACAAAACTGAACTATTAAATAGGAATTGATAAAAACACAATATAAAACCTTCATGAAAATGTGTATTCTCAGTCACATTCTGAAAAGTACCGGGAATTTTTACTTTTGTATTAATCTACCTTAACATGTTTTAAATTTTACTGAGATAAAAATGATACACAAAATACTTGAGGAAAAAAAACCAATATAGAATTCTTACCCTGAGGCGTTGAACTTGACAATTTTGTTTCTCAGTCATATTTAGAAAATGATTAAAATTGGACTCATCAAGCAGAATGTATACAGATATCCCTCGAGCTGATGCCTCAACTATTTCCTTGAAAATATCTACATCTGTAAACATATCCATCACTAAAGCAATAACCTGTCAAAAATAAGAATATAAAACAACTTAGATATTTCATAGAAAAAAGATTAAGAAATTAATTCGTTTCAGTTAAAATCAGATAAAACAGAACATGACTAAATACATAAATATGCATACAAATATATATACAAGTATATTTTTGCAGTTTGCTAAAATAGGAGCAAAATCTATATTAAAGCAAGCAAATAACTATATGCAGATCTGTAATGCTAATTTTCATATTAGCTTTAAGTTAAAGGGAATCTGCATTTCAGTAGGATTTTGAATGAAGTGCAAATTCAAATTCTAGATTGCTAGGCTGCCTGCAGAGTAGACAAAGTGGATAGGGTGGAAGCCAATGTTACAATTTTTCCTAGGAGACATTTTCAGGAGACATTTTCAGGGAAAATCAGGGTTTGGGGAACTAGTTGTTAAAAATAAAGATCTTGGGGACCTGGGTAGAAAAAAAAAAAATCTAGAAATAGAAATACACCTAGGAAAGGAGGAAAGATAAAGAGTACAAAAATACTTGAAGACCAGAAAATTAAATATACAGTCATCCCTCAGGATACAAAGGGGATTGATTTCAGGATCCCTGTGTATACCAAAATTCACATATACTCAAATCCCACAGTCAGCCCTGAAGAATACACATATACGAAAAGTAAGCTCTCTATATATGTGAGTTTCACATCCCACGAATATTGAAATTTCTATTCATGCTTGGTTGAAAAAAAATCTGCATATAAGTGGACCCATACAGTTCAAATCCATATTGTTCAAGAGTCAACTTGCCTAAAATTACCTTAGCATATAGAATAAGTAAAAGAACAAAAATGAATTTAAAAAGGTGATATGATTAAGAAGGTAAGTGTATAGGAAAATGCCCTAAAGAACTCTAAAAATGGAGAGTCCATGCTGATTGTTTGAAACAAAACTGTTATTGACTCTGAAACACAATGAGAGTGAAATAATGCTGGAAGAAGAAAAATAATTAATTGGTTGACCATCTTCTATGTACCAGCCACATTTATTTATCTCCTATTATGTGCCGAAAAGGGTAAAATTCCTGCCCTTGTGAAGCTTAAAATCTTGTGGCGGAAGACACAGGAAGCAACAAACATAATAAATAAGCAAATTATGTAATGAGTTATATATTTTGGGGAAAAAATAGAGCAGGAAAAGAGGGATCAAGGGTTCCTGGAATTTGAGAAAGAGGAGATTCAAGGTTTCAAGGCAGGTGGCTTTGAGACAGTGTCTTTTGAGCAGACTTAAATGGAACTGAAGTTATCCACATGGATATCTTGGCAAAGAGTGTTCCAAGGAGGGGAAACCAGCAGTTCTGTTTTGGCACATTCAAAGAACTACAAGGAAATGGTGGGAATAAAATGAAAAAGAGCGTTACCACAATGTCTTGAAGGCATTGTAAACCTTCCATGTTTTTTTCTGAATCAGATTGTAAGCTAGTAGAGGGTTTTAAGTTGCAATAATACTAAGATCTGATTATGTCCTGAAGCCTTGTTCTGGCTACTGTATTAAAAACAGACTTGAAAGATGGTAGCAAGAGTAGAAACAGAGAAGAGTTAGAACTGTTGGGGAGATTCAAGTAGGAGGTGATTGTGACAGGACCACGATAATAGTGCCAGAGGAAGAGGAATGGTCAAATACGGGATATCCTTGAGCCTAAAGAACTTGTGGATGCGGGGTGTGAGAGACAAAGGGAAAGCAGGATAATTCTAATATTTTTAGCCTCACTTATCTGAAGAACAGAGTTGTCATCAGCTGTAGTACATTTTAGGTGAAAGATTAAAATAGAAAATTAAGTTTGGGAAGACTAGATATCCAAGTGGAATGTTAAGCAGAGAGGCCTGGGCCAGAGATGTAAATTAGGTATTGGTGATGTAGACATAATGATAAAATCCAAGTCATCAAGGAAGAGAGGGTAAATATAAAAGAAAACCAAGAACCAAGACCTGGGACACTTCAAAGTTAAGAGATCAAACACCAGAGGAGGTGCCAGCAAAGGAGACTGAGGAAGCAAAGAGCAGGTGGAATCCTGAATGCCAAGTGAAGATAGTGTACCTGAAAGGAGGAGGGTGTAATTAAGAGGGTCAAATTCTACAGCCAGCCAAGTGTAGTTTTAATGGAGCAGAAACAGCAAAAGCCTCACAGGAAGGCATTTAAGAGAGAAGCGAAACAAACACCGGATATAGCAGGCAGAATAGCTATTTTTCTGTAATTTGGCTACAATAGGAAACAGAATAAAGCAGTAGCTGTGGGTAGAGCTGGGTCAAGAGGAGTGTATTTTTTTTCACTTTTAATTGACAGATATAATTTTATGTGTTTAACGTGTACAAAATGGTGTTAAGATATGAAATCAAGAAACTAATGGGCAGAGAAAATGTAACATATGTATAAATGTGGTGACACACACACACACGCACAGGAGCACTATTCAGCTACAAAAAAAGAATAAAATCCTTCCGTTTTTGACAACATGTATGAACCTGGAGAACATTATGTTAAGTGAAATAAACCAGGCACAAAAAGACAAAACTGCATCATCTCACTCATATGTGGAACTAAAAATATTCATTTAAAAGAGAAATGACAATTCTGTATGTCTTTATACTAATAAAATGCTCCAATAAAGAGTAAAATTAATGGTGCAAGAGAAGGTAGGAGTTAAGGTGGGAAAGGGGAGACATTCTGGAACAATGTTTTTTGAGTAGACGATAAGGGATAGACTCTAGTCCATAGGCAGTAAAGACCAGTAAGTGGCCATTCATACTCTGAAGCCAGAAGGTCAAGTATAAAGGTGCAGATGCTGGTGGAAGAGCAGACATAACAGTGGTGCTGTGGAAGTGCTCTTCCAAGTACTTTAATTTTCTCAATGTAGTAGGAAGCAAGGTCTTCAACTGAGATTGAGGAATCCAGAAGATATTTTAAAGGTTTGAGGGAAAGGATATCATGTAGCCATCTTAGGGGACAGAAAAGGGAAGTACGAAATAACTTAGGAAATATAGCATGATTTCTAGTTTAGTGTTAGAGGCTCACCAGGTCATAAATTTAATAAGGGGTCAGTCAATTTAGCGGTTAAGTTATTCTCTACTGTCGTAGAGCTGCAGGTCTGCAGGCATGAAGAAGACAGAGTCAGACTGAACCATGGCTGTAGTTATGGGTGAGTGTGTAACAAACAGATGGGTCAGGGGAATTCAAGGTATATAGAACAAAGACTGGCTGAAATGATTGACTGTGGGCTTTACACTGGATATGGAGAGGAGAGAGGATGTCAGGAATGTGAGAGAGAATGAAATAAGTGGGTGTGGGATCAATGAACTTGAGGTCCTGCGGGGGTGGGGGCGGGCAGAGAAGATATTAAAGAATTATTTCATTTTTCAGATTTTTAAATATATATATATTTTAAATATATATATTTCTTTTTGGGGGGGGGGTTGGAGTCTCACTCTGTCACCCAGACTGGAGTGCAGTGGCCGCTCTTGGCCATTGCAGCCTTGACCTGCTGGGCTTCTGCGATCCTTCCGCCTCAGTCTTCCAAGTAGCCGGAATTACAGGCATGTGCTTCCACACCCGGCTGATTTTTTTGATTTATTATAGAGATGAGGTCTCGCTGCCCAGACGGGTCTCGAACCCGCGGGCTCAGGCAATCCACTCACCTCAGCCTCCCAAAGGCGTGGGATTATAGGTTGAGCCACCGAGCCTGGCTCAGTTTAATATATATTTATCTTTTAAATATACACGTTAGTATATTTTTATCTGTAACTATACTAACATGTATATGCCTTATATTTACTTCAGCTTATAACAGATGAAAAAAAATGAACATGAATTGATAACTGTCGAAACTATTTTACTGTATATAAAGTAGGTGTCTATACTATTCTTTCCACTTCTGAAAGTTTATAACACAAGACTGAAAAAATCAAAAAGACAAGAATATTTGCTGCTAGCAGATACAAGAGGTAGTAAGCCAGAAGACAAGCAGAGGTGGTGAATTAGGTGATGTAAGATCTCCATGTTAAGGGTCATGATACTTTGAAAGATATGATTAGGAGTCAATGGCTGAGGTATATTAAGACAAAAGCATAGGAGGAGAGAAGGAAAAGGCCAGGAATTGAGACAAGAATGGTGTAGGAAAGAGGGTTTCCTGATAGAGACTCGGGAACAAAAATTGTGAAGAAATGAGAGGGAATGGAATGACCTGAGAATAACCACATGGTAATATACCAGGATAATGTGATGGATACATTGTGAATACATTAAAAGATAAGTGAAGTTATGGACAATATCTGAGATCATTTTTATTTACTTGGATATAGTGTTTAAACAAAATAACAGGTCATGTCCAAATTACATCCATGATGACATTCTTTAAACTACCCATGAGACAAACTCCAATCAGATTTTCTCTAGGAAGAACAATTTCAATCATGCCAGTGGCCTCCCACATTCTCTTATTTATAAATGGAATGTGGTGCCAGATGAAGGGAGAAGCTGGTCATCACCGCCTCACCCAAGTTTGGGAATACTTTTCATAACATCAAATATCTGAAAAATCTTTATATCGTTATCTACAATTAATAATCTAATGCTTTTACTATGCATTAATGAGTGTTGTAATAATATGTAGGATTTAAGATTAAAAAGTGCCCAAGTGATAAATTGATTTTATAAATTAACATAAAATATGTATGTCTGGAGCAGTTTGGTACTAATTTTTTGAAACAGAATTTTTAAAATAAAGATTATTATACAACACGGTATTCTTTAGTCAGCATATCAAAGAATTTATTTTTAATCTGCCAGATAGTCTCACATAACAAATTACTTTCGACTTTGGAAATGAACAAAAACACATTACTAAGATACATAAAAATTTTTGTTTGCAAAAATTAATTGAAGTCACTCAGCCAATGGATGATTCTGTCACACCAATGGTAAAACAAATGACAGTCTTTCTTGCATGACAGATAATTCACTGCATCAGGATCCAGGAA